TTTTTATATTTTCTCTGAAAATTTCTTTGTATTCTTTTAGGATTTATTTATTTTTCTCTCCCCCATCAGGAGTCTAATAAAAGTTTAACAAAATTATTATAAATTGTTATAATTTTGTTTTGATATTTCTAAGTCTTAGGATAAAAGGACCAACAAGTATTTGTTTGGGCATCTCCATAGCATTAATTACATGAAAAGCTGTTACTCAGGTACACAATCTTGTCATGTCCTGGATATGACATTATGAACACAATTTTGTGTAGCAACGGCAATCCCAAAATGCAGGGCTGTGAATACCACTTAACACCAGCTATATAAATGCAGGGTTGTGGTTCTGGTCCTCTGTGGTAGGGATGCATCTGAGATTGTCCCCAGGACAGCCTGGCTTTTCAATGATGCAACTTGACGGCCAGGTGTTCTCGCAATGAGTGCGCCATTCCTGGGAGCACGTCTTCTTTTCTTCATCACACATTACTTCACCAAGCACTGATTGAACAATAACCCATGTTTGGTGCTGGGGAAGCAATGGAGAAGAAAAGGGTCCATATTCCAGTGGGTGGGTAGATACGCTGACCAACAGTAAGTTAACACAGAAAATGATTGTAGTATTGTTAACATCCATAGGAGTTGGCCACTGTCTTAGGTTGTCTGTTCTTTTAAGGTTAAATCCATTTTAGGATTTTTTTTAAAGGTTGTTTTTTATTGAATGTGAATGGAAGGAACTAGGCAACGTTATCCAACTGAGTTAATTTTTGTTTCCGATTATCCCACTCTCAGGAGAAGTAGGGTTTTAATGCAGTATTGGGGACAGGTTTGTAGAGTAGGGCAAGGGTGAGGTCATGCCCAGGTATTAGGGTGCATACCTGTGGGCTCATGCTGCCTTCCTCTTCATATCTGGATTTTATGGCAATCAATGTAACTACTAACACTAAGAGAAGAGTGTAGAGTGCTTACTTGCAGTTGGTTACATAGTCAACATTGGCATTTGAGCAATGAATATTGACCTCTTAAAAAGCAGTACTTTGCAGAAGGATAAAAGAGTTTGCAAGAATTGAGCTGATAGTTTAATTATGTACTTGCCCTAGAACCTGCAAGTTAGAATGGCTTTTCTCTAAAACACATATTTCACAAAATCAGAACGTAAGGTATAGTGTTATCTAAAAGAATGGTCTCCTATTTTGATTTTGCACCGCTATCAATAAAATATTTTTAAGCATGTCACAATATATTTATTTACTTATAAATTATATATATTGATAACTAGCACATGTATATTTTTGGAAATAATGTTTAGTATATTATATAGATACTTATACATTATATGTGTCCAATTTTATTAAAATGTATCTCAAAACATATGTAAAATATAAATTTTAAGAGACTGGTGTTTTAGTTCAGGCTGCCATAGCAAATTATTCTAGACAGGATTACTTAAACAACAAACATTTATTTCTCACAGCTCTGGAGACTGAGAAGTCCCAGATCAGGATGCTGACAGATGTAGCGTCTAGTGAGGGTCCACTTCCTAGTTTGCAATGCCCTTCTCATTGTGAAGAGAAAGCACTCATGTCTGTTCTTAAACAGGTACTAATCCATTCATGAGATCCCCCACCCTCATGACCCAATCACCTCCCAAAGGCACCACCTCCTAAGACCATCACCTTGGGGTTAGAATTTCAACATATGAGTTTGGGAGGGACATAAACATTTAGTCCATGAAAAATGGAATCAATAGAAATGAGTTCTAACATTTCTTTCACAGTTCCATAAGGACTACCATGGCCATTCCCTGGGTATATGCACCCCACTGAGGAGACCAGTGTAAGAAACCAGACAGAGTGGAGAGCGCTGAACTGTATTTTTGATACTTAGGCATTTGGGCCACGTTGCCTTTCTGTCCTGTGTCATTCTGAATCCACTGATAAATTATAAAGGAATTGGTAAATAGTTGTAAAGGAATCTATATGCAAATATAGAACTGTTTCTTAAGTGAATGAATAAATGAGTAAATGTGAGTGAAACTAGGTCCTTAGGTTCATCTCAGCCATCAGTGTGAATTCAGCAGAGGAACACAATCTCTGGTGTGATTTTATTCCATTAATTGGAGATGATCAGAATTATGTCAGGAACTTTATACTTAACAGCATTTGTCCTGTCTTCTTTAATCAGTAGAAAACCTGTTTCATTTTGGGACAACAAGCAAGATGTATCTACAGACTTGTGCTTCCTATTCTAGAAACTTCTACACATAACTTAGAAATACTAAGCAAAAACACTTCATATTGAGGTTCATGAGGATGCTGTTGGGGGAGAAAAAGAGAAATACAACTTTTATTTATTGGAAACTCTCCAGTTCAAAGTTCCTCTAGATGTCAGTATTACATAGGAAAATAAAGATATAATAGCCTTTGGCAATGAATAAGGACATTCTTACATTGTTTAAATGGTAAAACATATGTAACTTATAATTACCAAAGAAAAAAACAGCCCCATTTGGAAGCTGGTTTCTTGTATTCCTCAGGACCAACAGCTTCTCCTGTCGGTCCAGGTCAGACCCTGTACTCAAAGAATATTGACCCAGCATATGGACATTTGCCACCAGGCTTTCAGATGACCTCACAAGCAGATGTCAGTTGTTCATCCAGGTTCTCAATATTGTATATATTTTTATTATCTGAAATAGACTGATATCTACCAGTTTTCATTACTAAGCCCACATTTGCTTTTCCCATTTTGTTCATACCTCACAGAATAAATCTAGAAGAACAATGCCTATGGATGCACCAGGAGTTTTCATTTCAAAGGAGGAGAATTGAAAAGTATATCCTAAACACAATTTGTTAAACTGTCTTATTTGGATACATGCTTTCTTTCTTTCTTTTTTTCGGGGGGAGGTCTCACTCTATCGCCCAGGCTGGAGTGCAGTAGCATGCTCATGGCCACTGTAGCGTCAACCTGCTGGGTTCAGGCGATCCTTCCACCTCAGCCTTCCAAGTAGTTGAAAATACAGGCAGGCACCACCATGCCCAGCTAATTTTTTTTTTTTTTTAATTATAGAGATGAGGTCTTGCCACGTTGCCCAGGATGGTCTCAAATCTGTGGGCTCAGGCAATCCTCTCACCTCAGGCTCCCAAAATGCTGGGATTATAGGCATGAACCACCATGCCCAACTGGATATATGCTTTCAAAACTGAACTTAAATTCTCTCTCTCTCTCTTTTTCCTCTCTTCCATGTTAATTCTAATTTTTTTGTCAATAAATATGTTTCTCTTCACTTTGCTAATTTGTTTTAGCTTTATGCCCTTCTCTCTTAATCTTCTTTCTTATCTCTTGTGCCAACTATGTATTAGAGCTCAACAAATATTAATAATAAAACTTGACTATAATCCTTTTTTTCTGTCAGAGAGACAGAACAATGTAGTATTAAGTGCACAGACTGAGACAAACAGTTGAGTTAGAATCCTGGCTCTACTATTTCCAAACTTAATAACCTTGAGAAATTACCAAACTTCATTTATAAAATAGGGCAAATAGTATCTATCTTAAAGGGTTGTTATGAGGAGCAAGTGAGTTAATAGCATACAGTGCTTAGAATAGTGTCTGGTATGTAGTCCGTACTCAGTACATGCTAGCCATCACCACCACTACCACCACCACCATCATCATCTCCACCACCACCATCATCATCTCCACCACCACCATCACCACCACCACCATCACTATCTGCAGATCTCTGGGATAAGCACCGGGAGTAAAAGATGAATCAATCTTTTTGCCCATTAGAAGACCACAATTGAATGGGAACTTGACAAGAAGAAAAGTTTGATTAGGTGTTGCAAGGAATGCCAGGGTGGAGGTATGTGCTGAGTTCTGTGCAGGCACAGAAAAGGGAGGATCTAGCTTTGCCTGAGTAAGCTGAAGGCCATTTTCCCTGCAGAGGAAAGGATATGCAAATATCAATTCTTCACTTTAACTTACAAGAGAAACTTTGAGAATCTAACATCCAACCTTGGTTTTACTAAACATGCCTCTATGTTATAAGTTCCCCATTTAAAAAATGGAAGTACTCTGAACCCATGGAGCTACACTATGAATTGTTTAAAAGTACATCTGCAATTTGTCTTGATATTTGTGTTCTGCACTTATATTGTTTCGTGTTTGCAGATTTCCCTAAGGCAAATTGTATTCTGTTTCAAAGGAAAAAGGAAAGGACTGATTCTTTTGACATCTACATAATTTCATTAATTTGTGCTGCATAACTTTAGAATTTGTGATAATTTGGGTGGATTGGGCTAATGTTTACCTTTTATATGATATACATTAGCAAGGGGTTTTGCTAAACTAATTCAGAGAATCCAGGATTATGAGAAGAATGTTTATCTACTTAGGAAAAGGGCCAACTGTTCTAAGCAATGTAAAAACTTCATTTATACAGCTTACTTTCATCTCTTCTTTCTGGTTTACAGAGCCCAATCACATATATCCTCTCGTTTTTATTTGATTTATATGTGAACTGTATCAAGACAATTTAAACAGAGGTCAGGGGTGACATTCACATTATCAATACCCTTTAATCTATTCATGAAGATGGACTTTCATTTACAAACAATGCCAGAGTTTTACAGAATTTCTTTGAAATTAGTGTGTTCATTTTAGATACTGTATTCTATATGGGGTCATTAATCAGACTCTTCTGCCTTCTACATTACTGTTAATTTTTGTGTTTTTTCTGTTTGAATTTTATAATATAGTTTTGAACCTGGGTGATTTTGTCCCCAGGGGAATTCATCAATCTCTGGAGACATTTTTGTTTGTCACAACTGGAAGGGAGGGCACTACTGGCCTCTTGGTGGATAGAGGCCAGGGATGCTGCTAAACATCCTATAATGCTTATGATATTCCACACAATAAAGAATTATCCAGCCTCAAGTGTCAGTAGTACTGAGGTTGAAAACCCAGAGGTAATATGTAATCTCAGTTACTTAATTGTATATCCACAGGCTAAAGAGAAGATGTGGTCAGATTCTGGCCTGATGGAAAGGACATCTGTCAAAGGCAGAAGGACATCAGCCCTCATAGGTAACATATTTCGGAGACTAATTAACTATGGATTAAGAGAGTCTTGTTGTAAAAGTCCTGTTCTTGCTATTCTTATTCCGGGGAAGATACATGTTCATAAAGACCTGTGCTGGGAGAAGGGAGAAGTGTTGTTTTTTTAATACCTTTGTTTGATGGACTTTGGGTCTTACCAGTTACAAACAAGAAAATCTTTCAGAACCCTTGTCAGTCATATTTTCTTATACTTTGCTTTTAAAACTTATATCTGCGGATAAAAAGAAACCTGAATAGAGATGCCATTATATGAAGCCAAAATTATACTTCTTACATGCACTCTCCATTAAAATATTTTGTGTCCTGTGGTGGCTTCTAGAGAGATCTACCCAGAAGAACCAACTCTTCTCTGAGAAAGAAAATGTTAATAAACTCAACAAGAAAAATACCGAGAAGACCAATGCTTCCCTAGTTCAGAGAAGTTTTGCTGTATTGCATACAGAAAGACAAGATGAGGTGGAAGATTTTGCTCCAAGAAATCCCATAGAGCCAGGAGAGAATATAGATGGAAAAGACATTTCATGCACAGAGGGCTCGAACAGACAAGAAAATGACAGTGTTGAAGATGGTAAACAAGACACTATGGACCAAAATGAATATCTAGTGTTGGAAAAAGAGAAAAATGGGCTTCATTCTAAGGAAGATACTAGAGGAAGAGAAGTCAAGAAAAAAGCAGAATTGGCAACTGCTCATGAGACAGTTCTGGACCAGTGTCCAAATAAAAGGCAATATGTTGATAAAACTATTGGTGACCAATTCCATGAAAGGTAGGGTTACAGCATTGCACATCCACAATTGACGCTTTTGTATGCCATTACAATTTAAGACCAAGGATTAATGAAGATAATTTTTTTTTTTAAAGTTGGAGTCTCACTCTGTCACCCAGACTGGAGTGCAGTGGCCGCTCCCGGCCACCGCAGCCTCGACCTGCTGGGCTCCGGTGATCCTTCCGCCTCAGCCTTCCAAGTAGCCGGAATTACAGGCATGCACTACCACGCCCGGCTGATTTTTTTATTTATTGTAGAGATGAGGTCTCGCTGCCCAGGCGGGTCTCGAACCCGCGGGCTCAGGCAATTCACTCACCTCAGCCTCCCAAAGGTGCGGGATTACAGGCTGAGCCACCGAGCCCAGCTTGAAGATAATTTTTAAAGCAATAATTTAAAACCCAGTTTCCCAGTTGATGTGGATTTTTCATGGTCACATTTTCTTGCCATTATTTTTTCTTCTTGTTTGTGATATTTTCAGGCATTTTATTGTTTTCTAAGTTTTCTACCAACTGGTAGGCAAAGATGATGATTAATAGTGCTCATGGGAACCAATATTTTTAAAAGATTAAGTAAAAAACTTTTATTTTTTTAGCAATTTAGAACACATCCTTCCTAAGGTCAAGAATTAAATAATGATTAGATTTATCTTTAAGTTAAAAACCTAAATCTGAAAAAGCCTACCTACTCCATTATACATCATAAATTGGCTATTTTTTCCCCAAATATTATGGGCATTGCATAAGATGTAGATTATTGAATTACTTTCTTCCTTAACTGCAAAGTTTCACATATAAATTCAGGTATTTTTGTAGCCAATTAAAATTAATTACTCTAAATTATGCTGAACCACAGTATCTATTTGGAACAAAAACTATCAAAACACTTGTGTGGTCTGTTTCTGGGATTTAAGACATAATTCTTATTTAATTTTTTGATAATATATTTGAAACACAATCTTGGAGAAATTTAATTTTCCAAGAATTAAACATAAACATAAATGATTACTCAAAAACTCCATCACTGCAAAGATGTTCTTAGTAAGGCTGAGAGCTGCTGAGAAACGGAAATTAGGTAGAATTTTCCTCCTATAAAGGTTTATTCTCACTGCTGTTATTATTCAGAGAGATTGTTGCTTCTTTTATCATGCTGTAATTTAGTAATTTCTCTCTTCTCTAAGGAAAGGAAGTTTAAAAAAAAATGAAGATCAAATTAGGCATTCATAGAATGATTGCTTTTATAAAGGGTCAGTGAAATAACTTGGGATCACAATGAGGATATTGGGGAGATCCTCTGGGATCCTGATTATCTACATCCACAGATTTGATGGAGGACACATACTGCTCTATTTTGTCCCCAGACACCAAAATGGTCAACTGTATGATGGAACTTGCATCCTTGTCACTGAAATATCATTTTAGAAAGTTTTAGTCTAAGAATTTTGACCATCTGAAAGTTTTCTCCTTGAAACTTTGAGAGCTGCAACTGGATTTTATTTTCCAGGTGTGTCAGTGGTGTAAAGACCATTTCTACACCACGAATCCCAGGAAATTCAGCAGTAGGATCCATTTTCCAGAATGCTGAACAAACAGAGTATACGGGTAGCAGTAAGCGTAGAGTGACAGAGGAGTGCTTCGTCTACGATGTCAACAAAAAGAGCAGAGTAGATGTAGTAGGTACAGGTGAAGGACACGCATGTAAAATGACACAGGTGGCCAAACAAGGCCAGAGTTACTCACAGGGCAAACCCTGGAAGTCTGCTGGGATGAAGACCTCCCAAGAGAAAGATCTCCTGACCCTCTTGGGTAGGAAATGACTTTTGTTTGGCCCATTAAGGCTTTTTAACCTTTTCCAGTAAACTTTTCCTACTAAGGTTCACTTAATCTAACAGCCTGCAGGAGACTTAATGCCATATTGATGCCATTTGTGTGTTTAACTCAATCCCTCTTTTTAAAAAAATCTGAAGCGATGAATGCTACCCCAAGATAATTCTTTCTTGACTTCATTTTTCAGCATGTTTGTGGTGTGAGAGGTGAATGTCCTTATCAGATCAGATTCCCAGAGATTTATAGTATCTAAATTCTAAAAAATATTAATACTTGATAGAGTGCCTGGAACAAGATAAGTGCTCAAGAAATGTGTTAAAAATGTAAATTTTTGAGAGCAAAACTATTTTCTACTCATTTCCTTTTGTATCCACAGTGTATGCATGCAGTAGCTCTTAATAAATGAATTAATGGAGAATGAACAGGTTCATGGCAAGCAAATTTAACATGGAAAAGAAAAAAATACTGAAAGAAATCTTACTGAGTAATCATGGGTGTTAGAACTGATGCTAATGTGGACTAGCGTTTAAATACTTAAGATGGAAGGCAGAAAGTGGGAGAAATTCGATAGCTGTAGAATACACACTTACCTAGTTTTATTGGGTGTTTTATTTCCAGCCAGCCAGGAAAAATTCATCTTTGTGCTTTAAATGTGCCTTAAATAAAGTCTAAAACATTTTGGAAAGTAATATATAATATCAAACATTTCAATGACATGAATAAATGTTTCATTTTTCTTTTTTTCTTCTCTACTTTAATTAAAATAACAGACTATATCAGTGGTAATTTTTTTAAAAAGGATCAAACAATTTCTCATGTTTGAATTAAAATTGTCTCAGACTTGGAAGTATTACCTGTCTGGACTGTATTGGTGTTAGAGATTTTTAACTATTTTGACATTCTTAAAAGTGATCCTGAAGATGGTTTGAACAATTGTTGAGTGGTCCTGACATTCTTTCTCAGAAATGTCAGATATCACCTTTGTGAATCACAGCTCATAATCTCAAGTGAAAATTTATGTGCCTGGATTGTTAGAAATAAAACAGATGGCTCATTGTATTTTATTATTAAATGAGCACATTTTTACTATGAGGCCCAATGCTTGTGGCCATAATGAGGTTGGACTGCTTGATAGATGGCCCTTCTTTTTCTCTCACCCTCTAGATGATATCCCAGCTCCTCCTGCCCCGTTTGACCATCGTATTGTGACAGCCAAACAAGCAGCAGTCAACAGTTTCTATACTGTGAGCAAAACAGAAATTTTAGGAGGGTAAGTAATGCTCAGTTTTAACATTCTTTCAACAAAAAAAAGAGAGCTTTCACAAGGACAGAGCCTGAGGACTTTGCAGATGTTATAAACACACATCTTAAGAGATTTTAACCATTTCTGAAAACGGTCACTGATGCCAGAAAGGTTGATGTGGTGACTAAACTCTGCATTTATTGTCTACTTTATTTCCCATGTTATAATGTCTGAAAATAAGAAAAAACCCCATGTGAGCCACCAGATTGATCAGCTGCCCAAAGCCATGGTGTAGACACAGGGAGACAGGACGTAGAAACTAGTCAATACTGTGTAGTTCTTGTGGGATGTGTTAAATCTTTATATCATTATTGCTGGTTTTCCATTTATATTGTTACTGTATTAATTACTATTCTCCATTTCAACTGGTTACTTTGCTCTTTGAATAATTTATTTGAGGGACATCTAAATGTATACTCTCTCTCTAAAGAAGGAAGATTAAAGTCCATTAAGGACCGTATTCATGCAGAGGATGTTCTTTCCTTTACTTCACTCATAATCCCCCTGTTATCACTGTATAGAAAATGTGCATAGCTACTAAGCACAGGTTTCTACAGTTGGTGTTGTTGCTATTTGTGAAGTCCCTTCTAACTCTTCCCATTCCCTGTTTGTTTGCCCTCAGCCACATGAAACCACCTGAACTTTTTCTTCCCTAGCTGGCTGATCATATCCCATGAAACTGTGGGGATGGGCTGAGGGAGAAATGGGAATTCCACAACATGAACTGATGCCATGGAAGTCTGAGGTATTTGGGTCTTCAGGGACTTCAGTGGCAAGCCAGCAACTATTTCTCTAACAGAGAATTGTTATTTGCAGAACAAACTTTGAAATAATTCCCAGAATTTGTGCTGTTTGTCCAGTCACAGTTTGTCAATGGCTCCTTTAAAGCTTTCTTTTTGTCTTCTTGAGCACCATCAGACCTTCTCGATTGTACTGCCGTCTGAACCAGCTGCTGGTCACCTCTTGTTCCGGGATCCACCCAAAATTGGCAGCCATGATTTGCTCAGCAAATACATTAGATGAGCACAACCAAATGTGTGTTGCTGTCTTCAAATGCAAAGCTGTTTGTCAAATGACTGTATCTCCTTTTTAATGGTAGGAGGTTCAGGATATAGCAACTTATCTTTTACTTTTGGCAGAGATATAGCAACATGCCAAGGATCACTGAATCTCAAAAAACCTGCCCACAGTGGCAAGTCCCTGAATTTTCCTGGGAGTTCATCTTGTGCCCTGTGGACTCTAGGGTATTTATAATACCTGATCACCACGTTCGGTTCACATTAACTTAGCAGTATGATGAGCCCACATGAATCTTGGAGGGTGGCCTTAACATTCAAGGCTCTTGCAGAATAAGTTATGCAAGAGAGCCAGAGAGCTGAGGTAGCCGAGTAGTCAGACATTGATGGTACACCACTGCTGGGCCAGAAGGTTCTAGGGGCCTAACCTAGGGAAACATAGGGAAAAAGCATTTTCTTAATTAATAGCCACATGGGAGGTGTCTGTGTCTATGTTCATGTACTCCAGTAAAGAATACATTTGGAGCAGTTGTTGGAATTGAAGTCACGCCTTGACTATGTTTGTGGTAATCCAATGTCATTCTCCAAGATCTGTCTGCTTCTGCACTGGGTGTGTAGATAAGTTGAATAGAATATGGTAGCCGCCACTGCCCCTACCTCTTCCAGTGTTGCTGTGATCCTCATCTTTGAAATCCTCCAGCCTTGTCATAGGTCTTACTTTAGGTTTGCTATGTTCCTGGAGGGTCTCTCCTTCACTCTCTACTGTGATAACCACCAATGCACAATGTATTCTAGCTGATTTTACTAAATAAGATAGCAAAGTAAACAAACAAATCAAATGGAAAACCTTTCACAAATTTGCATTTCTATATGTGATTACATAGGTAAGAAGCTGTCTTATGCTTATATCCAAGCTAAACTGTCAAAAAAATCTCATAGGAGACTAGGCAGTATGTATTTTTGATACACACACACACACACACACACACACACACACACACACACACACACACACATATGCAATATTTCTGTCATTTATTTATATACAGTTTCCAAAAGTAGTTTCATATACTTGACCATGGGCTGTAATGTGCTTCTGCTAACAAAGCCCATCTGATTATATTCACATGTATTGAGAAATATTCTGTATTATCTATAAAGGTGATTCTCAAATTTTAGGGTGCATATGAATCACTCAGGGAATTTGCTGAAAATGCAAATTCTGGAGTCTTCCCCAGATTCCTGCCTGAGAAGGTCTGGGGTAGAGCCCAGGAAACCTGCATTCTTAGCAACCCCCCATGTGATTCTTTTGCAAGTGACCCACAGACCACACCTTGACAATTGCTGTTCTAGAAGTTTATCAGATACAGTAGATGCACTCACAGGTTTACTCATTCAAACTCAAAAAGAGAAATGCCCAGGGTCACTGTGCACTGTCCACTTGGCAATAGATGACAGGACTTCATGTTGTGCTGCTTCCTCTTTTTGGCAGAGGGCGTTTTGGCCAGGTTCACAAGTGCGAAGAGACAGCCACAGGTCTGAAGCTGGCAGCCAAAATCATTAAGACCAGAGGCACAAAAGATAAGGTACAGGCTGCGGGAGGGGCTCCCTCCCTCCTCCTTCCATCTTTACCACACTAAAGCCCATTTCCCTCTTCACAGGAGGAGGTGAAGAACGAGATCAGCGTCATGAACCAGCTGGACCATGCGAACCTCATCCAGCTCTACGATGCCTTTGAGTCTAAGAATGACATTGTCCTGGTTATGGAATAGTATGTGTCCCCTCCTACCCTCCCCACACACCTCTCCCACAGTATTCATGGCAGCACAACAGCAGCTCTGTCCTGCTGGAGCCGAGGCAGAACCAAGCTCTTACCCCATTGATTCTGATTTATGTGGGCCAGTAGCTGATTAGGTTATCAGACTGACTCTTGTGATATTGCAGTTTTTGTGGTGTTGCCAGTGTCAGAAAGGAAACTACTTGGGATTACATGTATCCACGTGTGATTTTATTGATAGTAGTGGGACAAAGTAGATCTAGCTGTGTATATAAGTTTTACTGTAAAAAATTAAGCTTAAATATTATCCTGGGCCACCTGGAAGAAAGTGGTTTTGGGGCTACATCTCCTGTGCAGTATATTTACTAATAAAAAATTTGTATCAAACTGTTGATGACCAGGGCTAAGAAGCTTCAATTTGCAATCACCTTTATAAAAACTTAATGTCTGGTTAGAAAATAAGTTCAGTGATCCCTTGGTATCCATGGGAGATTGGTTCCAGGAATCCTGTGGAAACCAAAATCCACTGATGCGCAAGTCCCTGATGTAAAATAGCATAGTATTTGCATATGACCTACATGCCTCCTCCTGTATACTATAAATCTTCTCTAGATTACTTATAATATTAATATAATGCAAATGCTATGCAAACAGTCGCTTTTTAAAATTTGTATTTTTTTATTGCTGTATTATTATTTTTTACTGGTTTCTTTTGTTGAATATTTTCAATCCTTGAATAATGGACCCTGTGAACATGGAACCCATGGATATAGAGGGATAACTATAATTCTAACATTGAATCAATGTTGTGATTCATTCATTTTTCATTAATGATGAAAAAGAACAATTATAACAATATACCATTCATTCATTTTTTTTTCCATTTTGGGTTTTGTTTTCCATTGTACAATAAAACATTTTGGATAATAAAGCATAGTGTCCCCCCTTATCCACAGCTTAACTTTTCTTGGACTCAGTTATCAGCAGTCTATATTACATGGATAATTCCAGAAGTAAAAAATGCATAAGTTTTAAATTGTACACTGTTCTGAGTAGTGTGATGAACTCTCACTCTGCATCCCACCTGGGGCGTGACCCATTCCTTTGTGTAGCGTATCCCCCGTGCAGATGCTTTCTGCAGGTTGTTACTCAGTAGCTGACTAGGTTATCAGATCGACTCTTGTGTTATTGCAGTGTTTGTGTTCAAGCAAAACTTATTTTACTTAATATTGGACTACAGTGCAACAGTAGTGATGTCGGCATGTTGTTATAATTGTTCTTTTTTATCATTAATTTTTGGTTAATCTATAAATGAAATTTTATCATAGGTATGTTTATATAGACAAAGACATATTATATATAGGGGTCAATACTACCTGTGGTTTTGATCATCCACAGGGGGTCGTGGAACACATTCCCTGAGGATACAGGGAACTATAGTATCTAGTATCAGCTGCAGAAGCACTTTATCACTGAAATTAGTCTGGGAACTTAAAAGACTGAAACTCAGCCAGGCTCGGTGGCTCAGCCTGTAATCCCGCGCCTTTGGGAGGCTGAGGTGAGTGGATTGCCTGAGCCCACGGGTTCGAGACCCGCCTGGGGAAT